TCCATCCCTCCTCTGGTTCCTCTCTCTATTTCTTTATTCTCTCCATTACCAGATTTTTTTTAATGTCTTCATTTCTTATGGCCTCAATATATGGCAACACTTATGGATTCAGCTATAAACAGCACTAACAGGAGAACTATGACTACATCAGACAAAAATCATGTCTATTTACATCTGGTGGAAACATGGATGGGAGCTATGAGTCCTAAGAATGAAGATGACTTGTTTTCAATTGTAAGTGGCAGGCAGAGAATACATCATTGTTCCATGAAGCTGATAGCAATCCACTTGGCTGTCTAACAGGAAGATTATGTTAAATGTAACTGCATCACGGTTATCAGATAGAAATGTGCACATCTGAACCTTTCTAAGTGTACTGTTTTTTTTTTTTTTCACTATGGAGCCACAGCACTAAAAGCCAGGCTGAAGATTTTACAGTAAAACTTTCACTATGAGACCAATGCTGGGAAAAACAAAACATAAAAGCTGGTTCACAGACAGTTATTACTGCTTCGGAGAATTTTTGACATCTGGTTCATATTTACATGCAACGACTAAGAGTTCAGTAAACGTTCATTACCACCTATAGTATGTTACAGGATCTAGCACAAGCAGAAAGCTGAGACATAGCCTGGTTGGAGTGCTTCTTTTTGTTGATAAAGCTGATGAGACCCAAAGCAGTCAGACAGGAAACAAATCTGTGGATACTTATGGATGATTCTGGAGAATTGACTTTCCTGACTCTCAGATGAGAGAATTTCCATACTGCTGAGCTACCCCATAGTGCTTTTTAAAGGGAAATCATGCGTACAAGATACCTCAGTACACATTAGCACTAGAATTCGTGAAGTCCCGGGAACTGAGTCTTAGGCTTACAGCCAAATTCGTGAGACATTCCTGTGACTATCTTCTTAATCTTTGGTAATTGTCTCTGTCTGTCACGAGAATCATATGGAGCATAATCTTACTTCTGAAAAATATTTTAGTTACCCATGATCTTACCTTGTAGACTAAAGTTGCCATTAAACAGAGTTTATTTCCACTGAAAGCTGAGCTTTAAAATGTAACACTGGACCTCACAACAGAACCATTTAATGCATGATTTACTGCTTAAAAATGGGCAATGCGCATGTCATAGTGAAGTTCACTTCATGTGTTTTTGGGATTTTCTAAAGCTGAAAATGTCTATCTGTGAAAGTCATTTAAATATGTGAACATCTTAAATACCTTTGTCAAGTTTTTCAAATCTTAAAAAATACTCTTGTCAAGTTTTGCGAGTTCTCTAAATTTTTCATTTTTTATTTTATTTTTTTAGCCGTGGCGTACTTTACCTGGCCATTTCATTCAAGTATCTCTCACCAAGCCATTTTTCCATGAATTTATAGACATCAATCACCTTTATTACTAAATCTTCAAGAGCAGTCAAAGCTTTTGTCTTTATCAGTTCAAGTCGAAACTGTGTGGCTATTTCTATTTAAAAAAGAGAAGTTGGACATTAGCTAAATAAGCTGGTCTCTGAAAGACAACAACTGTGCTTTTTCTCTCAAATGGAATTTTTATTTTAAAAATATATGAAAGCAGAAGGGAAACTCTTTGGGAAAAGGAAGACACCAGTGCAAATAGGGAGGAGGCCGAGAGAGTAAAGGGCTGATATGGTCAAAGTGTACTGGATAATTTTATAAAAGGTTATAATGAATCTCATGTTTTGTCAAATTAACATGCACTAATAAAAAAGAAAATAGGTAAAAGAATTTTTCATGTATTATATATATATTTTCTGGTGAACCAATTTCACTTTTATAGCAACTGTGCTTTGGCTTATGAAGTTTCAGGTGCACATTTACTACACCAATGTAGAAAAGGTGACATCTGCCTCACTGCAAAGCAAAATGAAATTTTCAGCAGAGTCCTCTGAGAAATTAAACCAAAGCGATGCTTGAAATTTATAGTTATTTCAATTTTAACAATATACTCTTTAATAAATTTGATAAGTAACACTGGACACTTTTATTACCTGAGCTATTATAAAAACTTCAACCCTGCTTTCTCGACCCTCCTTTTCCCACTTCAATTTCAAATCCACCTCGATAGCACTTAGTAATCTGTGTAATCTGGCTGGCAGATGTGATTGTATCACTTTCCTGCTCAGAATTTTCATTAGCACCTAGTTGCCTTTGGCTAACTACACTTTTGACTCAGGGTCGATTGGGCTTTTCATGATCTGGCTTCTTACTTCCCAAGGCACTCCTTCCCAGAATATGCCTCAGACTCTAAAGTTACTCATCTCACATTGCCAAATATAGTCTTTATGTTCCCCTTGCCTAGGCGCATGTGGTCCCTCTCTATTCCTACCCCACTTGTCTCCTGGGAAAGCTTTTTTAAATATTCTTCCAATTCAGCTCATACATTAGTTTCCTTGGGAAGTCTTCCTTGATCCCCCCCTCCCACCTCTGCTGTCCTATAAACCTATATCCAACATAAATAGCATATTGTATGTGACTTGTTACAGTTTGGTTTTCTTATTTTAAGCTCATGGATATGTGTATGTATCTCCAGCAACCACTACAGGATTTGACCTACAGAGAAAAAAAAAACAATGACTTTTGTTATATGAGGGAATGAATTTTATCACACAGAGGATCATGCATCGAAGCAAAAGATGCAGTATATTGGATACCATTGGAATCACATGGGAAACAGTCATGGGAAGAACACATGTCCTCCTCATCTGAAGCCTCAAGTCCCCCTGTGTTCAGAATCCTTCAGGTTTTACTGCTGGCCTATGGAAGTATGTGAAGGGAGGATGAAGAGAAGGAGAGAGGGTGAGAGAAAAGAAAAGAAGAAGCAAGAGCTGGAGAGCATCTTTATTGGTTAATGGTCCCCTAGCAGGAATGTCCCAGGTGGCCTCACAGTGCCTTCTCAAGGTTCTGTCACCTAGGCTACTGACAATGCTCCTTTCAATAGACTGTCTTTGCCTAGTTCCCAATATTCCAAATTCCACTATAAATTGCATTAAAAGACAATCATAAGAGCCATGACACAGCATGTTATACAAAGTCATTTCTGCCCACAGGGAAGAAAGCCCCTGACCTTGGGAGAAACAGGAAGGCTCTTCTGTGGTCTCTGTTCACAGATATTCATTCTCAGAACCCACTAGCCTTTGGTCAGGATTTATTTTCCTAAGAAAAGGAGTAAATTGCTCTTGTAATATAAAAGCCTTTTTATTAGGTATCACCAACCCAATTCTGTAAAACCATACCAGCTTTCAATTTCTTTTTTATATTATGGCCTTTGATCTTCTCTCCCTTCTCAAATCTTTTTTGTTTCTTTCTGACATCCTGCAGACAGTTAAGACTAATTAGGGAACTATGTATAGTGGTGCATGCCCATAATATTATCACATAGGAGGTGGGAGCTACTTCAAGGACAGATGTGGTTACATAGCAAACCAGGCTGGGATACAAAGTAAGAACTATCCTTAAAGAAAAAGAAAAGAGAAAAGAAAGGAAAGGAAAATAAAGATGCTCATCTAACTCATACAACAACATAATAGCCAGATCTGATTCTCAAAGGGTTAAATGGTCTGAATGGGGTCTTTTCAGACTGTGGCTAGTGGTCTCATAGATACAGCCTGAGGCTATTAATGAGTCTGGTCTGGGTTGTTCAGCTGCTGATCCACTTTCTATTGAAAAGCATACTATTATTTTTTTCCCCTACTACCTTCTGATTGCAGGGCAGCAAGATGTTCTTCTTTTATTTTGAGCCTCAATTCATTTTTCTTTTCAATTTCAGCCATTTCTTCTGCTGTTACTGTTACAGGACTGACCTGCACTTCAGGTGGTGATTTACCTGAAAAGCCAATGAAATGTGATGAGTCAATTACTGGCATACAAGTTTATGAACATGATACTTGAATAATGTGAGCACATAGCAACATATGTGCAGTCACAAATCTCTAGTGATTTTGAAAAAAGGAACCTTGAGCTTCCTGGTATGGGTAATAAGGTATGGACAATGCTTCATAGAGAATTCTCTGTGTGCTACCTGGGCTGGACTCAAATAAGAACACACTGTGCCATATCATAAATAGAGCGAGGTATATAGCAAGCACAGAGATGATCATAGAATCCAAAAAAAAAGAGAGTAAAAATCAGTGTGTGAGGACAAAACTTAGCGATCCTCACTATACTGTGACTGACATTAGATATTAGGAACCTGCAAAGTTACCATAGCGTACGGGATTTCTTATATTAGACAGTAATTCTTAGGTTTTCACCAAGAAAATGCCAAAATAATCTGCAGATATAGTTGAAATGTAGGTAATAGTCATGAATAAATAGCCTACTTAATTATTTTTAATTTGTTCTTACAAGTATTTAAGTTATTACATAAAATGATTGGGAAATAAAAATTTCTGAGTGCTTGTCGAAGATCTACCCCTGGGTAGAACCTGGGTGGTTCTATTTCAGGCCTGGTTTTTGTGAATAAGAAGAATGTAAAGTAAGATGCAGTGAGAGATATATTTACTGTAATAATAGATGCAGGTCTAGAATGCAAATGAAGAAATTCATTTTTGGATGTATTTGATCAACTATATAATTAAGGATTGGACTCAGTAGCTTATTCTACTAAAGTAAACAGTTTCATTTCCTCTAAATGCTTCAAGTTTCTTTTACATTTTAGCATGAGATGGATTAAAGTGTCATGTTTGTCACCAAAATGCCTCTCCTCCCTTTGCTTCAAGTGACACTCACTACCCTTTCACTCTTCCTCTGTGCTTTCTTTAAGCAGTGGTTAGTTCAGATGTCCAAATGTTTGTCTTTGCTGTTTAACTCAACTTCTCTCAAGGTCAGGGTCATGGTTTCGAGTCTTATTTTAGTTTTGAATTTGTAGTGTGTCCTTGGCGCCCATCACAGAGTGTTTCTCATAGTTGTTGCTGAGTAAGCATAAGTGGACTTCCCTCGTGGGAAGCACACTCTTCCTTTCTCACCTTACATGATCTAAAGTGTATCCACGTGGAAACATTCAAAGGGGAAGGTAATATTTGTGTTATATCCCTAAGATTAATGGGGAGGTAGCTCTCAACCTATTTTCTTGGTTTGTTTTCCCTTCATGACTCTGGGGTAAAAATTTAGGCAGGAGGCTCCAGGAGAGGATTTCCTTAAATTCTAGGGCCCCTGACACCTGCATACACAGGCCTTTCAACTTCAACAGCAGATATATGCTCCTTTGAACAGATACACGAGCTATTAATCTATGAACTATTAAGTTTAGTTAATGTGTTTAAAACTGTCTTTGAGATATATCTGCTTGATACAACTGCCATTTGCTTAACCAAGTGGGCCTGAAGTGCAATGTGATTTGCAACCTAACACCACAGCCCATAGCCTCTTGAGCCTGAAGTTTAAACCTAATGACTACCATCCTAGTGGCTTATAGGTTCACAGGCCTAGTTAGAGGCTTGCCTCCTGCCAAGGAGAGGCTGAAGTGACCAGGGCTCTGTGAATACCTTGGTATGCTGTGAATACCTTTTGCTTTTTTCTCTGCCTTTTTCTTCTTGGGTGGCTCTTTCTCCTTCTTGATTTTTCTGTTTGCACCCATCTGAGGAGACTTATCTTTGGCATCTGTTGGAACATTTTCTTTTTCTTCTTCCACGAGCCTCTGGTGTATTTCAGCAGCCATCTGGTGGTATGACAGCAGAATTCAGTTAGGGACACAGGATAATCACTTGGATTTAGTATTCTAATTTCCATTGAAACTTCATTGCACTGTAAACAATGATTTCATGTTTTTAATCTTTATGAAGCACACAGTTTAATATTTTAGAAATCCCATCCTTAAATGCACTGCCCTGTAGCTATCTGAAAGGAGGCTTTCATTTTCTTAAGCCCTGCTTGCAATACATCATTATGTGCCATTACGTTATACATAAATTCATTTAGTTTTATTTCTGGCTCTTTGAATTTAACATTGGCTTTTCTTTCATGTTCCTGTTATCTCTTGGCCTCCAGGAGAGCCATTTTCTCTATATCAGTTTTTAAAACCTTTTTTGTTGCTGTGTGATATGCAATATTAAGGCTATGCCTGAACAAAAAATGTCTGACTCTTAGCAACCATTAAAACCAATAGTGAGACCCCAACTGCTCTGAGAATTTTTCCTTCAGATGTCTCCTGGAATCATGCTCCCAGGCAAAGTCATTCCTCTCTAATGGAACAGTATATTCAGGTTGAAATGGGGAAGGGAAAGAAGATTTTACTTTTCTGACTCTTACTGCCCTAGAACAACACACACAACCACAACAGATGTTTTAAATTTAATCCTACCTATTGTTGGCAACACAAATGGAATTATCCACCGCTTTAAAAGACTATTATCTGCTTACAGCACTTGAGATTCACAACATATATACATATATACACATTATTCTGTATCAAGGGCAAGGAAGGGTCATGAGGGATTGGGATTAAGGCTGTATGTTTAGGTTCAAGAGGAATCCAAGGCTTAGTGAACTTTCTTACATTATAAATAAGCTGAGATAGTTTTAAGTCATCTCAAAAATTAAGATTAACTTTTAGGTTCCAAGTTAGGTCCCACACTTGTTTTTCATAATTGGCTACCTATGGAAAAACTTTTTACATTTTTCTCCTAAGTGAATCACCTCTCATGAAATTTTCATGTTGCAAAATCATGTTTGTTTATGTATTGCATCTATATC